AAGGTATCATATAGACAATCATTTCATTGAAATTATATCGTTTTAAAGATTAGACAATCTATACTGTACGTTAAGAAACTCTAGTTTAACTAAAAAAGTCCATTTATCTTATGTAAACTATTTTATAATCTCTTGTTGAAGTTCAATATATCTATGGATTATTTATTAAAAATTATCATTCATGAGAATAACATCCAATAATACAGTTAACTGTCAATGAATAATAGGGAAACTATATCAATATGTCACTCTTTATTCTTCATATTCTTCATAAGTTAAAAGGCATTAAAGTCTTGTCCATGATACTAGAAATTGATCCAAGATTTTGGACAGAGTAAAAATTAATCAGTTGTAATGGATATTTCAGCTAATGTATCAATATAATTGGCTAATTCTTCTCCGTCCAAGATTTCAGATTGATTAGTACAATGTACGATATCTTCATTTCTACCAGATAAATGGATTTTTTACAATTAAATTTTGAGAACATGGTTTTAACCTCTGGCTCAGCCATGGGGGAAGGCACTTTTGGTGGGCAATCGCCATCGATGGAGATTTGTTTATCGGCAGGCGCACCGTTCTTCTCCTTGGCCGTCACATCACTCCTGTACTTGTCGCGTCCCGGCTTGCTGCTGTTATCGTTAGTCCTGTTTCTGTAATACATGTAGCCGAGACCGATAGCAACCGGGGCACCAAGCACCAGGGCAAGCTGCCATTTCGGCAGTGGACTACCGCTCGAGGCGGTCATTCCTTTTAGTATTGTTAATTGCGCGTGAATGATAACGATGTGTGATACCGGGCACCACCAGGACGACGAAGATGGAATCGACGACGACGATGATGATTGAAAATCTCTCACGACGTAAGAAACTATGAGATTGTGAGAGCAGGAGATGCGAAGACGACGATTATGCGAACCACTCCCCGGATTCGACTCTTACCGCGTTACGTTGTAGACAGCTCTTCTACTCATTCTCGGCACCGACGTATATCGCAGATGGTTTGCGACGGTTCTGCGGAAGTCTCGTGAACCTGAAAGATTCGTCATGCATCAGCGCCCCCTCGGCGAATATCTTTAGAAAAAGAAATCGAAGAAACGTATCAATTTCTCTTTATCTTTTTCCAATTCTTAAAATATTTTATGGATCGCTCTATCGCTAATTTTCATTGATCACGTGATCCAATTAATTATCAATCACCAAAGTATTAGTAAAGGTCATCAACTTTCCTAAGGAGCTCGGAGATAATTGAAGAATATTGATATTATCGACTACTGATATGATTTTATGATATTTATAATATAAATATTTGAATAAACAAATTATTAAATTTATGATCGTCATCCTGATGATTCATGTATAAAATACATGTGCTTTGAAACAAAAGATTAAAATGACAATAATAATGTAATTCTTTTTGATTTATGTGAAGTTTCAAATCCGTAGCATACTTGCTCTTCGGTCTCATTGTGAATTCGCGCCGCGCATGCGTGGAACGCCGAAAAGATGGCAAAAGTCTGTCAACAGCAGCTACGTTTTATCGGCTGTCACGCCACTGACCCGTTGGAATTGAGAGTGTTCGCGCGACATGAAAGCCCACGTTTCTGAATATAGAAGATTTCCGAGGAATGCTGATCGACCGAGGACGTGCTTGTAGACGATTTTAACGAACGTCGTTAGATCTCTTCATTCACCCTCGTATTTGCCTTGAGACTTGACGTTGTCGGACGTCGCTGTCACGATGGCCCTACAGGAGGACGAGAACACCTGGTAAGTCGAAATCGCGATTTCTTGGTTTCACCGAGGAACGATCTTGAGGAAAATGTCGAATTTCACATATGTCCGGCCGGTTAACGCATCGAATTTTTGCCGAATTTTCACCGAATTTCCATTAAATTTCCACCGAATTTCCGGGACTTGGTCCGCGTGTCGAGACTTTTGCTTGCAGCGCGAGACTATATAAAACGTAAAGAATTCGGTTACAGCTGTGACGAAGTGCATGTTTCATTAGTAGAGCAGTGTGAATTACATAATGTCACTTGGAGGTTTTTGTTAATTATCGTGCGCTAATTAATACGCTGCATCTGTACGATTTGTGTGTTCAAATGGATCCATGGTTGATTTTATGTATCCATGATTCATGCAATTTCAAATACATATGGCTCTTGTCACTTTTGTCAATTTCAAATTGTTATCTTATTCTGTTTCAGGGTTTTAGAACTGGAAGCAGCGCTTTTAGATACGGAAGCACCGTCAGCATCTGATATTTATGCTATTTGTAAAGGCCAACCAGTACCTGCTAATTTGAGACCAGATGTCTGGCTGGCTTGCCTTTATGTTACTGATCGAGGTGATCAATTGAGTCAGTTTAATGAAGTTTATGATTTACCTGAACAAAATATAATTCGCGATGACTGTCAACAATTGGTTGGTAAGTATGCAAACATAATAAGGATAGGATTAACATTTATATTTATTAATATCTGTTATTAAACATTACAGAGAAACTTGGGAATGATGATGAAGATAAAGTCTCTGTGGTTTCTGATCTTGAATCTATATTAACGTTTTATTGTAAAAGTAAATGTAAACAATATGAAAGAGGGAATGGATGGCTAGAACTACTAGGTCCTTTAATAGCTTTAAAATTACCACGTGCCGTAATTTATAATCTTTTTGAGGCAATAAGAGATATCTATATTCCAAGGTAAAAAGAAAATTATAATAAGCATTATTTTTTTGAATAAGTATTTTTATTAATGTTTATATCAGATTTTTTTCATAACATTTACTAATCTTTTTAGAGGTGAAACATACAGTTCAGTCTTAAGATTGCTGCTTCTTTATCATGAGCCAGAACTGTGCTCGTTCTTAGATACGAAAAGGATATCACCTGACCAATATACGAAAGTATGGATGAATACCCTTTTCGCTGGCGTTTGCTCATTACCAGCAATATGTACAATGTGGGATTTATATTTTATGCAAGCTGATCCATTTTTCATGCTATTTCTTTCACTTATTATGGTTATAAATGCCAGGTAAATATCGATTAAATTGATAGTTGGATAGTTGGATAATTTGTTATTATATTATTTAAAGTAACTTTCATATCTTTGTAGAGAGCAAATTTTGAGTATGAAAGACGAAGACAAACAAAATATAATAGATGCAATAGCAGTAATGCCGTGTGCTTTGGAAGCAGAGGACGTAACTGATTTTTGTTCTTTAGCACAGTATTATGCAATGAAAACACCAACATCTTTCAAACAAGACTTATATCCCATTATGTTCGGTGAAAATTCCGATGAGAAGTTAATATCTCATGCATTATGTTTACCCGTATCAGCGCAAGAATTAGTAGAAAATGCTATTGAAGTTCCATCCATACCTAGTAGTGCCGTCGAGGCTGTTAGATTCTTTTTGGTGGATTGTAGACCTGCTGAACAGTATAATGCAGGTCATTTGCCAACAGCATTTCATCTTGATTGTAACTTGGTAAGTTATTAATTATATAAAAATGTTTAAAACCAATTTTATAATATGTATTAAGCCATTATATTTTAATATTTATTATGATGTTGTGAATTTCTATCTTTTTAGATGCTGCAGGAACCTGCTGCGTTCGCCACCGCAGTGCAAGGCTTACTACAAGCTCAGCGTCAAGCGTTAGCTGTTGGTTCGCAAGCTGGTGGAGAACACCTCTGCTTTCTGGGAAGTGGTAGACAAGAGGAAGATCGTTATACACATATGGTAGTGGCATCCTTCTTACAAAAACATACACAATACGTGAGCATGGTTACTTCTGGATATCAGGGTATTTATGTTTTTATTTTTAAATATATTTCGAAGAAGATAAATAAGACAATTCTTTATCATATGACTATGATTTTTACTTTCAGCTATTCATGAATATTTCGGTGACGAAGTAGTGTCGAGTCTCGTTGATCATAATTCACAACATTGTCTGGTGTGCAATGCTAATATATTAGAGGAAAATTCAAACGAGGCAAGCCCTGTCAAAGTCAAAAATAATAATTCCGATCTTTTGGGCAAGATTGGATTAGCTATGAAGTTGAAAAGTCAGGAAGTAAAGGGAAAGCTGTTTGATTATATCGTCAATCCTACGGCAAACGTCAATAGTAATACAGAAAAAAGAGATAGCAAAGATTTGGATTATATTAAACGTCAGAGAAAAACCGCACCTGTGTTTAGTATAGATGATGATCAAGAAATAGGTAATCATTCAAATTCTTTAGTGATTTCATCATAAAAAAACTAATCTAATCGGCTTAATTGACGATATTTGCTTCATAGATATGACAATGACTAATAATGAAAGTGAAGAGCCTATCGAAGTAGTATCTATACAACAATGGATGAAAGATCCTAAATTATTACATTCCTTTAAATGTCAAGAGGTGAAAGTAAATGGCGATCTCTGTGATAGGTAAGTATGTAAGAAGAAAGGAATTTTCTTTTGTATATAAAATTAATGCACTTCTGTTTTAGTCAACTATTGGTTACCGATAGTCATCTTATAGTACTGCGTGAAATCCCAGAACGAAAAGGCGCTGCGCACGTAATCGTGAAACGTCCCTTGACGAGTATCGTTAAAATAACGTCAAGGAAACGACACGCCGATCTAATAACTTTCAAATACGGTACGACACAATATAACGATACAGTTATTTCCGACATGGATAAGTTTCTTATACCCAACGCAAGTGAAGCGACTAGATTGATCACGCAACAGATCATGAAACAATTAAAAACATCTGATTAATATTACGGATACATATTTTATAGAATAATTTCAAGCTAATGTACAGATATTATAAAGTTCAATTTATGTCCATATAACATTTCACTTTTAATCGACCGGATGATTTTATCATTTAGATACGGTAACTTTTTTAAATATCATGATATGACTGATCTAAAAACCAATGCGTTCATAACTTTGTAAATCATGTTTATAATAATTATTGTTAGCCAAATAAGAATATATTACATTTTTAACAGAAATATCTAAAGGCCTTCTACCTTTTGTTGTGTGACAGTCTAAATAAAATTTTTGTAATGCTAATGTAGCCAAGACTTTAATTAGACTGAGATTCTGTAGGAAGGAAATGCTAAAAATCTAACAAAGAGCTAAAAAAAGGAGCCAAGTTGATAACTAATACATATGTGCCTGCACATTAATCGTTTCTTTGGTTGTGTTCATGCGTAGAAAAATATTTAATATTTATATATAAATATTAAAACAAAAATATTTATCTATTCCAATTGGCAACTGGTCCTAACATCATTTTAATATATTTAGTACATGCGTATATATTTGCATTTTGTAAATTGCCAAATAGTGATATGTTTTTGTAGGAAGAAATTTATACAAATTGTGCAAATGAATATTAGATGCAATATTTGTAGGCAAATAGTATTTTTCACGCTATCTGCCTTTATATCCTTCTTAAAAACATTTTAGCTATTTTGTATTATGAATGAAAATTGGAAAACTTTGAGGAAAACTTATAATTATTATTAAATCTCTTTGGTAGCAAAAATTATAAACATGTTACATTTCCTATTTTTTTAGCAAATCTGTATTTATACAAAAAACAGTGCAATTAATATTTTTTTATAACATTAAGTGCAAAACAAAAATATATAAAATTTTCCTAAAATTGTTAAATGAAAAAGTCAAAGTTCAGCGATTTTTTTTTTCAGAAACGCTCTGTATCTATAATTTATTTGTAAATAAGTCGTGGTAATTAATATTGTATTGTTTATCTTGTTATAATCTATTATACAAAATTTCGATAATATATACTTTATACAAATCTAAATTTTCATTATTTCAATTAATTGTGTAAATTGTATAAACTCATATAATGATTGAAAATATGGATTTTTTGTTCACTCATGCTTTTACATATAAGTTCATTAAATAATTAAAATAGAAAACTCATACTTAAAAATTGGATGTATATGTTGTTGACAGTTGAATATTATCAATATACATATATATACTGACTGCGACATACATATACATATAGTTTTTGAATAATACACATCGTATGTGTATATGTGATAAAACTTTTTCATGTATGCTTCCAAATGAACAATTTGGAGATGAAAAATGTAAATGAGTTGGGTAGTCAACAATAGAAAGTAAACTTCTAAGAAATTAAACATATTGAAATTCTTAATAACTCTGAAATATATGTTTATAGATGTGTATATACATATAAAAAGGCCATGTAATATAATACAGAAATATATATATAATAAAAAAAGTTGACAAAATAATGTGAATACTTTGTATATTAAATTCCTAAGTAAATCTATGTATTATAAAAACTTATAAAATATTGGATCCATGATAGATTATTTATATTCTTGCTTTGTAGATAAGATATTAGTAAATGAATTTAAAGATAACGATATTGTATTATTACATTTACTGATATCAGAAGTATATATTACTATAAGTGCAGTAATGATAACTTATATCAATATATAATATTCTACTATTTATGTCTCTTTTATTCCTATTCTGCAAATAAAAAAATTTATAGAAAAAAATTTGTGATTATATAAAAAAATTTAATAATGTAATTGCTATAACATATATATTTATCTATGTCTATTACCATATATTTATTTCAAAAAATGCGTTCTTAATTCAAAACAACAAAACTATACATATATATGCTATTCATAAAATTAGAATTAGTTATCGTTTTTTTTCCTATAAAATTTTGCTACATTGCTTTGTTGTGCATTCTAGTCATGTTATAAAAATAAATCGAAAAAAATATATATGTAAAATTTTATATAAACATACTTTACAAATATGTTTTATATAAATATTTTCTTTGCAATGTGACTAGAGTGCAATCTAGCTAAGCAATATAGCGAAATCTTATAGATAAAAAAACGATGACTAATTCTAATTTAATGAGCAACATATATATATATATATATATATGTATAGTTCTGTTGTTTTGGATCAAGAGCAATAAACGCGTTTTTTGAGATACATGACAATGAACAAATCGCGTGACGAGAATACAACGTGATATATACATATGTATAGACAAGTACATTTATTGAGACACGTAGCACACACATATACATGTGCGAAATATACTGATATGTGGTGGTATCAGCCAGTATCCGGCTTTCGCTAGTGTGCGCTGCGTGCGTACGTACAAAACCGGTGAGGAATGACTATTAAAGATGATGTACTAAAATTATTCAAACTGAAATTATTGAAAAAAATCGAAGGATGGGAGGGATAAACTGGAGCGAATTATTTCCAGGAAGATGGAGTCCTGTCATCTTCATTTCTTATATAGCTCTCTTTATAAACCAAGGTGAGCAACATTCTGTAAACAATTTTCTTCTCTTATTATAAACAACAAAACAACAAATATAACGTCATAAATTATACGAGTATATTAATTAAAGTGTTTCCTTATGATGATACAATGTTTCAATACGTAATGTAATAATCTATTACAGGTATTCTTGTGACATGGTCTCAACGAAGTGGTCGTTATGAATACAACATTGTGGCAGTTGTATTAATGACAGAAATTTTAAAACTGATCATATCCGCTGCACTTTATTGCAAAGAGTGAGTGAAATAATTTAAGAATTTGCAGTTTTGTGGTTAGTCATCCCAACGATATTACTGATCAATATTAATTCACTTTGACTTGCAGCAATAGCATCCTGACGCTTCTCCAAGAAACAGTGAAAAACAAAAAGGGTAAGACTGAGAATATGAGATAAAGAATTCTAAATACTTGTGCTATAAATATCTGATGTGATCGAGGTTTATAAAGAACTAAAGACAAAACTGTTGATTTCTAGTGCTGCTGCTTTATATGATACCTGCGATTTTGTACTGTCTCTACAACAATCTAGCATTTGTCAATTTGGCTAGATTTGATCCCACGACCTATTATGTTTTGTTGCAGCTTCGCGTTGTATTCACAGGGATTATTTTTCAGGTATCTGCGACATTGTTTTCTTCATGTATAGAGAAACCATGTTGAACAGACTAAGAACTTTGATTTCTTCTAGGTCATTTTTAACAAAAAATTGACCGCGACGCAGTGGTTTTCTCTAATAATCTTAACAGTGGGTTGTATGATAAAGCACTTTGACGCCCACGTCCTTGGCACAGAATTCCATGTAGATATTTTTCTACTTTTAATTCTTGTACAGGTGAGTTAACTTTCTATCGATAAATTGAAACAGAACTATTTACTGAGAAATATCCTGCTTTACAGACGACATGCTCTTGCTTAGCTGGTGTATATAACGAGTACCTCCTGAAACGGCAAGGCGCGGATATTGACATTTTTATACAGAATGTATTTATGTACATCGATAGTATTCTCTGCAACGTCGTAGCAATTGTTGCATTAAATTTATTCATGAACGGCGTGAATAGCGATACGTTGAGCAACGCCAAGATTGATATGTTTCTGCAACCAAAAGTAATCTTAATTATGCTAAATAATTCACTCGTCGGGATAATAACGAGTTTCTTCCTCAAGACTTTAAATTCTATACTGAAGACTTTTGCTAGTGCAGTGGAATTGATTTTTACAGCAATTCTATGTTGGATTTTATTCGGCATACCTATCAGTACGAACACCATTGTTTCCATAGCCATGGTGAGCTTCGCTGTTATTTTATATTCGAGAAATCCTGTACAAAACACTCAGCCTAAAGAGTCAACGGAAAGCGCGAAGCTTCTGGTATAAACTACATCAGTATTAAATCTTTTTTAAATAATGATGACTCGCAACCAAAATATAAACAAAGTGCACATTACCATTAGTGTTAAGTTGTTGAAATGTTTTATTGTAATATAAAATGCTATTAATTTGAGACTGTGACTGAACGCTTGTGAATAAAAAATATATCGATTTCTTTTAATAAATCAATCAGAGGCAAATTCAGATAATTTAATAAACAATAATTCCTGTTTTTTTAATAACGAATTATGAAATTAAAATATCTTTTTAAATATGCAAGCACAAAATAGTTCTAAATATTTCAAAATATTTTATTAAATTTCTATCTTTAATTTAAAAAAAAAGAACGTATTTTATAGAAATTAGTGTTATCACATTTTCAATTTTTGAGATATTTCTCGAAAAACTTCGATATTTAGATAAGGAAAGCTAATTATAAACTTTTTCAACATGTCACTTAACTTATTTTACATTCATTTTTGGATTTTAATTCCAAAACGCAAACCGCTCGTTTCAGATGGATGCATTCTGATGCAACTTTCTGAAGGTTGATTGTATCCTCACTTTTATAATTTTTACCTCGTTTCAAAACACACAATCAATCTCCTGAACACGCGAAGCGCGCGTCCGTGGAAGTACGCCTTAATAATCTCGATCGAAACGATTCATATCGCTTCAATAGAGATCGCCAATCAAATGACCATGTATCTGTTGATTGGTCATCTTGCACAGATCGTCGCGGCTTTGAATTTAAAGCCCATTATCCAATTGCATTCCTCGCCGTTCCTCGCCCGCCTCGTTAACTTTTTTTTTTTTCTTCGAGTGCATCCATTTCCATTAGCCCCTCTCCGAAATGTTGCGATAGACATGTCGCACTTTACATTATCTTTATATCACATCTATTCGTCGAAGCGAAATTTATAAGAAATTGTCTCCTCGGAAAATCGCTAGCGAGAGGAGGACGACACGTATCGCTCTGTCTCACTCGATCGCGCACGTGTGCGTGCGTGCGCCACCACGGTGACAGATGCCGTAATGACGTCGTGGGCGTGTGTGTGACACATGTGCGGTGCCGCGGCGGCGTTTTGCGTTCTCCCGAGGGTCCCGACGATCCTCCTCTCGGAATCTCGCCATCCCACTCGACATAGCGTCGCTTCGCTCCGGTTCCCCGGTCAGTCTCGTTTTCCTTCGGCTCTCCCCTTTTATCTTCCTTCTTAACTTTGCTCCTCGCGAGATCCTGCGCGGGCGAATTCCGTGCAAATGAGCGTGTGTTAACGCGCGGCGGGCCCGCGCTACGAGCGATAACGTCGCATTGGATTACGCTGAGTTCGGAACGTTGGATGTGACAATCTCTCTTCGCCCTCTTTCGACAATGGGTAAGTTTTCGACATATCTCGTATCGGACCATTCGGCAATCTTGCATGCGGGCGCTTGATTGTTTTAGAGGACCCCACGGAGGCACAAAAGTGGCAGCAACATCTGTCCTTGCTGCGAGAGCAATATGTCAATTTGTACAACGCGAATGCAGAACTACAAAGGGAGTATGCTGTCGCCACAGCTGAGAAACAGGAGGGTGGATTTGTCGGCAGACTCCTAGCCACAGTGGCATCCTTGTACTGTCAGCATCGTTACAGGTATTTCTATGTTTACAATCTGAGATCTCAGGTGGTTTTTTTCTTTATAACGTAGGTTTAACAAATATGATATTGAATGTAATATTTCAGTGATATAAGCATAAAACTGATCGATCAAGAGATACCGGCGCACAAATTTGTGCTATCTGCCAGAACTGATTTCTTCAACGACGCAGCTCTTGTCGAAAAGACTGTTTTAGGTTAGACAGGCTTATATCTTATTTGTTTTATATTCATTCTTGATTTGATACAATATCGTTGTCAATGTTGTTGATATTGTTTCTAGATTGGAGCAATTTAAGCAGTACTGTGGCGTTAGTGCTATTGAAATGGATTTACACGGGCAAAGTATCTCAGGAACACTTAACCCTGGATCTAATGAAAGCAGCGGCTAGTTTCCAATTGTCGGAGCTGGTAGATCAATGCGAAAGATACTTGATTGGAACAGTAGGCTTGAAGAATTGTGTAGGATTATATTCAGCTGCCGAGGAACTGGGCACTCTAAAGTTAAAAGAGCACTGTAGTTCCTTAATTTCGGCGCATTGGGTAAGATTGCAGTTGTCAAAATAATTAGTAATTAAAATTAATTTTATACATATATATATATATATGTATAAGAGTATATAAAATGTCTATACATCTTACAGGAAGATCTGACAGGCGAGGATTTCAAGGAGATGCCAGGTTCTTTGCTGTACAAGTTGCTGCAGACTAAGAGTAAATATCCTTTGCATGCAGCAGTACGCTTGATGCGCGAAGATGTCGTGTTTCTATACTTAGTGGAACATAACGCCGAGGTAAGTTCTTTTTTAACTTGAGAAGGAATTTAGCTTTTCTTTAGTCATATACTATTGTAGACCTATATATCATATTATAATATAAATTCTTAGAAAACATATGAATAAAACATGAGAAAGATTTAGTAAGATCGAAATACATCGCGATTTCAATTTTTAATTTTTGATAAATACATTATTTATAATTTATATTTTGTCATTTATTGGTTCACTAAATCCTTTTTCAAATTATTCACAAATACAAACCATTTTGTTTCTTCTTAAGTTCTTTTCTTCTTTTTGCGATGACTAAAAACTAAACATAATATGTATTCAGAAACTTTATTGAGATAATTTAGTAGATAAGTTAGTTACTATGACGCATAATAATTCGTACGAAGATAATATGAAAATATTATTATGTATTGCAAAAGTACAAGAATTTAATATTGTAATTCATCATTAAATATCTTAAATGTTGTAATATTATTAAATATTCACAACTCGAGTTTAAATATTAAGTACTTATACGCAAAGTACAACATTCTTTGTTCATGAACATTTTTAGATAAATGACAGTTTTGGTCTTTTTTCTAGTTTTTGGCAGTGTTTATGTATTAATAAGTAAAATATTTTCTTGTCCTAAAAAAATCACTAGTATTTTTGTTAATAAATAAATTTTTGTTAATATTACATTTTTCATTTGTTAAAAGTTACAATTTTTTAATATGATAATTTCAAACATTAAAAGAGTAACATATATATTTTTATGTATATTTTTGTTGCATGATATAACATTTATAAATTATTAAGCTCTCTATATTCTCTCATCAGGAGATCATTTATCTTATGCATGAAATTTTTTCACAAATTGCACTTTGTTTTAAGTAACATATTATGTGCCATAAACTGTAAAAGTTTTACAACAATTTTATAATTAGCATCATTAATATTGTCCCATACACTTTGTTAAATATTCCAATCTGTGGGGGGGATGAATTGCACAAATGAAAACTACAAAAACAGTATTCGGGCGGACTAGTTGATCCGCCCCTGTGTTCTCCAATGAAACAACCTTCATCGTAAGCGGACGTTATGACTTCCTCTTTTTTATACCACTGCTTATCAACATCATTGTAAGTGTGAGAAATATATTTTTGTGACGCGCAATCTCGTTGAACGGTGGTCACTACAGATGCTAAAAAGGAATTTGTAAATAAATACCTACATTATTATTCGTCGCCGCGTTTTTAATTATCTACCTACTTTTAGACTTGTATTGAACAGTTCTCTTCATACAAAGTGTCGAAGTTGGACAGAATACCTGGAATTTGGCACTTCCATCAAAGTGAGAACAATGCAGATCCGTATCATCTGGATCTGACAGTGTCATGAAACACCTAAAACACGAGATACCTTCTGCCTGTACTTGTGAAACATCTAAAAATTTCAAAACATTAATCTCAGGTTCTCGTTATACATTTATCTTATTGATAACGACAAAAGGAAGCATACATGATAAAATACTGATACATGACATCATAATCTGCAGATTTGACTTGAAGATATACATTTTATTTACAATATCATTCGTGTTCCCTCAAAAGCAATTATAAATTAGTAATAATGTATTTACTCGGTCAACAATAGAATCTGAAACATTTAATTTTATATTTAACGTGAAAAATTTTCTTTTTCTTCAAAATTACACAATTCCACTAACCATTTAAAAGAGAAAACTCATGCAGATGATATTATGCTCATGCCTAGATAACCTTATCGCGCAATAAAATTAAAAACTTGGAGTGATCACAGATAATAATTTTTTCTTCTTTCAATAATTGATAGATCTCCCATTCGAGATTCATTAGAAATCGCTAGATTTCACCGTTGGAAAGTTTCTGTCCGCGTAACGTTTCCAAATCGAAACTTTTCGGTCTCATTATCTTTCTAATTAGCGCGCACGAAATGGCATATCGATGTTTGCCGTTAAATGGAGTGTCGGACAAACGGTGCCCATTGATCACAGGGTTTCGCAACGATGCATCGCAATGCGATTTATTTCGCAGCACGCACCACCTCGCACGAAAACGCATCGAAGGATGCGTGAACCGACTGGCCGATGATCGCGATCGGTTGGGCGTACCGCGAAGCCACGTCATCCGCCTCGTGGTGGTGATTTAATGCTCCCTCAGCCTTTCATGTATGTCAGAAAATAATCTCCATACTTCCTCCACTTTTTCACGCTGCTCCGATACTCGCCACTCCATATACACGCACGCACGACGCATGCACGCACATACATACGCATACACGCGTGCAAACATGCTCACATCTTACGCACGCATCGCCGCTCATCATGCACACGTTGATAGCAGTGGTTCTCAAACGAAAGTTTCTTAACAATTGTTATCAATATTTATGTTTAAAAAAGATGTCTAAAGCTCTAGTCACACCGGTTCCTTCGAAATATAAATGCTTAAGCACAAGTTATTTTTTTTTTAATATTTCTTCATAATTTGTATCATTTTTTTCTATAAGATTTATGAGAAATTAGATTAATGAGAATTTCTTCGCAAAGTGCAATTTGCAAGTTTTAAAATTACATCTCTTTTTATATAGAGTAAACTTTAATCAACTTTGAAACAAATGCATTCTGATATTTTCTGTTTTTAATAATAATATCATATCATTTATGTTAGCTTCCGAAGGCAGTCAATGCTGTGGATCACAAGGGAGAAACAGCTTTAGAGGTTGCTCTAAAAACTCGCCAGCCATCTCTGGCACGCACCCTGGTCGAGCACGGGGCAGATCTGAGCGCAAAAGATGCAAGGGGTCTTTCTCTTCTTCATTCGGCTATTTTGAAAGGAGACTCTTACTCGTCCGAATTTATAATCGAGCAACTGGAGAACAATGGTAGCATGCAAAAATTGTGCGAGGCTGTGAAAATTGTCGAGGGTGCGAGAAACGCGGCTGACCTCAAGCAACTGGAGGGCTGTACCGCTTTGCATCTAGTGGCGAAACACAATACGGAAAACATGCTGGCAGTCGGATCGAGATTACTCCAAGCAGGGATTGATCCGAATTTGCAAGATCGTAGAGGATGGTAAATTTGTGCATTCGTATTGCCACTTATATTATCTTGTTTGTTATGTTTTCTTTTATGCTTCATACTGTTTTCTTTTTTACAGGACTGCCCTTCACAGCTGTATCTCGGAGAAAAACGAGATGTTGTTTAATCTGCTGCTCGAGGCGAAAGGTATAGATGTGGATCAAATCACGAACGAAGACGATACGCCATTGTGTTTCGCGATGAAGACGGAACCCTTCAACGAATATTTTGCGTCGAAACTGTTGGCCAAGGGCGCTATAGCGAATCCAACATATGATGCCACTGGGGACACGTTGCTTCATATCTTAACGCGAGAACGCAGAGAAGGGGCGGCATTATTCTTAGTAGAATATTGCAATAATAATTTAATGAAAACTAACAACGAAGGTTTTACGATACTGCACGAAGCATGCAGGGTTGGCTTAAAGGATCTGACTCGTGCTTTACTGAAAAACGGACTGTCGACCGATATCGTTACTCTTTCCACTGGCGACGCGCCGATTCATTTCGCCATTTCGAATTTATATACCGACATAGTCGTCGAATTACTAGATGCCGCGAGCTTAGATTCACAATTATCTATTAAAAACAATGCAAACGAGACACCTCTAAGCTTAGCTATAAAAGCACCGTTCAAAAAAGGCAAGGATATTGTGCTGGCTCTAATAAAAGCCGGAGCTGACGTGAACGAGCGCAATGAAGAAGGCCTGACGCTTTTGCACCAAGCGATCTTGAAAGAGGATTCGGCTACGGCGATATTTCTGTTAGAAAATGGAGCTGATATGAATGCAAAGTGAGTTTAATAATGTGTTAAGATCTGCAGAAATTTATTTGTGAATCACAATCTTATTAACAATTGTATCTTTGTATGTACAGAACAGCCAATGGAGAAACGCCGTTGCAATTGTGCGTGCATTGTAGATTGGGTGAGGTAGTGGAAGCTCTTTGTAGACGCGGCGTAGACACTTCGATAGGATGTCCGTTGTGGGATGCTTTAGATTCGGATCAAGAAGATACTGCATCGATCTTGGTTAAACACGGCGCGGACACCGATTGTTGGGGTCCGGGTCCCGATGGTTGTCAACAAACGCTGTTACACAGAGCCATCGATGACAACAAGGAGGATATTGCACAGTTTCTGATTAGAAGGTGTGCAAGTTTTTTCAATCAAGAAAAATGAAAAACAAATGATGATTTATAGTAAAAAAAAAAGCATTAAAAAAGTTGCAAATACTATTTTATATATATTTTTCAATTATAACAGAGATATAAAATTCAATTTATCATAAAAGGAAATTATTTTAGATATCATGTTTTATCTCTTTTTCTGTTGACAACTTTTTCTGTTTATTGTATTGCAGTGGATGTGACTTGAATGCTCCAAGACGACCTGGTCCAGATGGTGCTGGTGGAGATGAGGCGAGAGACGAGTGCACGCCATTACATTTGTGTTGCCAATGGGGACTGGAACAAGTTGTTCAAACGCTCATCGAGCATGGAGCCGATGTGAATGCTCGTGACGCGGAAGGAAAGACTCCAGTACATGTGGCGATACAAAATCAACATTCGCAGATTATTTCTCTTCTGTTATGTCATCCAAATATAGATCTGAATAAGAGGGATAAGAAAGGACTGACGCCGTTCGCAACTGCCCTAACAGTTCGCAACAACAAAGCTGCACAAGCAATATTAGAGAGATTACCTAAAGCCGCCGAACAATACGACAATAAAGGCAGGAACTTCTTGCATACTGCCATACAGAAGGGTGATATGGAGAGCATTCTATTTTTATTGTCGATACAAGTACTGAATTTTTAATCTACATAGATTGCGCGGTTTGATACATAAGTCAACATGTCTACAGCGGATCATTTCTTTTCTCAGGTAGATGTAAATTCAAGAATACACGATGTTACGCAGACACCTCCTCTACATCTCGCCGCCATATCGGGGAACGAGATGTTGGTGCGAAGTTTGATTCTGGCGGGTGCTCGCGTCAATGATACGGATGCAAATAGGAACACTGCGTTGCACGTGGCGGCCAAAGCGGGTCATGCCCCTGTTGTCTCTGCATTATTGCAAGTAAGATCAAAACCAGTAAGCGCTAAGTATCAAAATTAATCAAAATTAGTCACGTTCTAATTGCGTTAATATGTTTTGATGTATCCATATTTCACGACAAAAAAATCACGATTGTGTTCTTTGCATAGAATAACATTAATTTTGATGCGGTAAATGCGGATGGCGACAATGCGTTGCACGTAGCCGTAAGAGAAGGACATGTATCGGTAGTGCGAACGTTGTTAACCGAGTGTACACTGGACGCGGAAGCAGTGAATCTCAAAGGTCGTAATCCTCTACACGAGCTAGCTAGATGCGCGAGGGACAACGCTGCAACGATATGCGATCTGTTTTTAGAATGCATGTCACAGTATCCAGTCAATAATGCAGGTGCAAAAAAAGAACTATTCAAAAGAATAAAATTATTTGAAAATTCCTTAATGCAATCACTCTTTATATGTATATTATGTGTACTTGTATTATATATAGAATTATATTCCAGATTTGGATGGAAATACACCACTGTTAATCGCGTATATGAAGGGTAATGGAAATCTTTGTAGAACGCTAGTGAAAGCCGGAGCATGCTTAGGTTCGATGAATAAGGATGGAATTACAATCTTCAACTATCAAGTAGCGACGAAACAGTTATTGTACAGACTATTAGATTCTTTAACACAAGAAGCGCCATGGTCCGATAAGGATTGCTGTTTAGAATGCGGAACAAAATTCTCTCTCACAATGCGCAAACATCATTGGTATTATTTCAATAAAAATCGAATGTGTTAACTTCTTAAGCAGATATATATCTTAATTTTTCTTTTTCAGCCGACATTGCGGACGAATCTTGTGCAGCAAGTGTTCTGGTCAGGATGTACCAATCTTGAAATTTGGTTTAAACAAACCAGTACGTGTATGCAATGTATGCTTTGATGTGTTATTGGGTACTGGTTCTCTTCAACCATCATAGTTGAAATAAGAATTTTTATATATATATATATGACAATTAATGAAAAGAGAAAAAGAGAAATAGATCATTTCAATGTTTTTTTTATATGAAAAAAAGAAATGCGAACTGAATCGAAAGTCTATGTGTAATTGTATGTCATTGATATTTTATGTATCCTATTGTATACACATTGTTCAGATTTGTTAAAAACTATCTCAAAAAGTTGAAATACAGATGAAAAAAAATCACACGTTAGTGTAATAAGTTAATCTTTTATTGCTAGTATTTGATTATATATATATACAATGCTCGAGATTTTTAGTTTTAACATTGCAAACAATTAACTTTTCATGGAAATATTTTGCAATTACTTAAGTTTACTAAATAGAGTCTTCGCGACACAATGATCTACGCATTCCACATAATCGATAAGCTCCTCTAGGCAAGATTCCTCTGTGTTGGATCTTGAATTGACACGGTCGTTACATGTGTTTAATTTCTCTTGGAAGTTAACACACTTTGCTTGTTTACTACATTCTTCCTGTATAAAGAAAAAACAATGAATTAAAATATTTGATTATATGACATATTATTATGTTTAATATTAACTGTCTTATTAACAGCTATAATCTTAATGCAACTAAATACAATTCATAATTTATATTCTTTGACTTTGTCAATAAACTGCTCCATTAACGAATTATATGTGAATAGTGAATAACAAATAGCAAATTACAAATCTCAAATCATAAATAGTATGAATTATGCATAATCTGGTATCAGTTTGATAAATCATTATAAACAGTGTATTATATTATAAACAATGACTTAAATTTATGGTTCAATTTAACTATTGTATATCATTAGAAAAGTATATTCATATAAATTGCTTTGAGAAAACAATTTTTCTCATATTCCTTCCACATTTTATTAAACTTTTATGTTCAGAAACAAGCTGAGTACCATTTTTCTTTCTTTCTTTTTCTCTCTCTTTCTCTTCCTTTCTCTCAGGAAATTTTTTGTCTTAAAAATTATTCTAAAACAGAATGCATGCTCGTGGCTTGAATTTAGCAAGCGTGTTCCTGCATCAAGAAAATCAGCAACGCGCTTGCATGTGTCCGATAGATAAAACATTACATAACGACTGTTACTTACGCGAAGTACTTTCTGCGGATCCACCAATTCCTCCTCTTCTCCCTCATCGGCTTTAACTACCGGCAAATAACGTTTGAAGAATTCCTGTATGTTCGACATATTTTTAATAATCTAAAGTATTCCGGTAATTGTGCCCGTAAATTTTTTCTCCGGAGAGAGCACCATGAAATGAGCACTAATGATAACCGCAATCTCAGCAACTTCAGAGATGTTATGAAGAACGCGATTAGCGCGATTCATCGACTAATCGAGTTTTAAGGCTCGTACGCATTGGGAAAGCAACACATGCACTGGCCAATCAACTGTCGGCAGTTGTAAGTAACACTGGAAATGATTGGTCACGCTGTTGATTTAATCTTGCGCGCGCAAGCCATCCACTGCAATTGAGATATGCCTAGAAATGGGGCTGAAAATCGATTATAAAAAGAAAGTAAAATCACTTTAGTTCAATCTATAATTTGAGTCAACAGCATAGGAAACAGTTGAAAATTTAGCGTACAGGTAAAATATACATTATTAAACATTGTGTCATGTACATATATGAAAATATGAATAAAATTACAATTGTCACATATGTACAAAAATTATAGAATCGTGTAGAAGTTGTCGCGATTGATCGATTCAGATCAAACTCCAATGAATTTAATCGACGATAGTTTCTCGAATATTATTTCGTCAACATAAATAAAATTATTAATTTTTTGTTGAATAATACATAGGAAAGCAGTATTAAGATGTAATTATATTTAAGCAATTTAATCAGACAGTAGTCAATGCGATTTGGTCAATTTTTTTCTCTGGTGTCCGAGATCTCGGATCGATTTCTAACGTCGTGGGATAGAGGACTTTAGAACTACAATAAAAAATGATAAAAAGGAAGAAAAACCCAAATGAAATTTATATTGATAAAAGCGGAAACATTATCATCGGAATTTATTGCCGTAAATTAATCGAGAGGAAGAAAGAAGGCGTTCGGAAAGGTGTAGGAATGACATCACCGATTAATTAAATGGGAAAAGAACGCGTTCGCGCGTCGTATGTACCGGCTAGCGAGCGGTTTACGGGCGCACGGAGGATGCGCGAAATGTGTCTCGCGTGCGCGAGTGGACACGACCAGCCAAACACGCTCAGGTGCATCAACTTGCGGTGAAAGAGAGAAAGAGAGAGAGACTCACGCGTATCGCGACAGGTCAACGAGCGAGTGAAAGAGAGAGAGAGAGAGAGAGAGAGAGAAGGAA